TGGTATAAATGAACTTGCTCATTTGATCCGAAGAAGCCTCGAGTTGGTCACAAAAGGTATTGACAGACTGAGGAGAAATTATGTCATATAGACCCAATGTTTCATAATAAGGATTCATTTTACTCTGAGCCATGTAACCACTTTCTGGTAGCACATGAATGTTACGCAATTTCACCTCGTATGGACGTTCAAAGAGATCCATAACAGTCTTCTTCATCTCATACATCAAAGACAAAGAAACTCCATGGTTTATCACCCTGAAACATCCCCATCTCTCACCCGCGTAATGGATTTTCTGATTCAAGATCTTATCAGAAATCTCTTCCAAATCTATTGTAGGAACGACTACGTCGAGTTCCGCCATTATGATCTTTCTTTGAGCCTTTCTTGGTACGAGAGGTAGAGGTTAAAAAGCAAAGAGGTTTTGGTATACTTTCAACACAACCTTGTCAATTGTTATAAAGAAGAGCATCCTCTCCGAGAGAATAACGTAGCTAATGATGTAAAAACTTGACACCTCACCAAAGACTCATCATTGATCAAATCATTGCAAGTAGTTGACTTCGAGAAAGTCGTTTCATGTGAGATGGCAACAATGAAATATAAAGACTTGATTCGAGTGATTGAGACAGAGATATACAAACTCATAAACTACTAGACCAGCCTAGACACGAAGAACACAAACAAACAATGAATCATGGATTAAAGAGTAATGCAACTACAAAGATCTCATTGTAAAATAATTTATATAGAAATAGTACTAATAGGTATTGAGACAGAGAGACCGATCTCATTGTAAAATAATTTATATAAAAATAGTACTAATAGGTATTGAGACAGAGAGACACATCTTTATTTCTCATTCTTGGAGAAATCTAACAAAATATTGCAGTTTTCTAGTTTCATAGTCATAGGTCATAAGATTGAGAGCTTCTCCATCATGCAATTTCTTGGTCATTCTAATATTTCGTACCCCTTCGTGACTAATAGGCTTGTATAGTAGAGTCACTAGGTTACTACCTAAATCGTATATATACAGCATACATTCCAATAATATTCCATTTTCATTTTAATATACAAATCCACATACACCACACATATATATGCCAAAAATTAGTAACAAACTTCTAGAAAAATGATTGTCTAGTTATGTATAGTAGAGTCACTTAACAACAGAAAATCAGGACAAGTATTGCATCCACAAAGATATCAACGTAGAAGTCTTTATACATAAATTGCAAAAATCAAATAGATATCACAAGTATTGAGACACAAATCCATCCTTTTTTTTTAATTAAACATAAATACATCTTTATTTCTCATCCTTAAAAGAATCTAACCAATTACTGCGATAAGATTCCTTCATTTGTTATAAGCTTGAGAGCTTCCCCATCATGCAAATCCACAGTGATTCTAAGTTTTCGTAGTTCTTCGTAGCTGATAGGCTTGTATAGACGCGGGTGTTCAGCATCCACAAACTCACTTGGAACCTCAATATCTATATCAATTGGTCCTAATAAGAACGAGGCGATAGAAAACCTTGTTGTCGCTTCTTTGCATTGAACTCTATGCTTCACATTGCACAACCTCCCATTGCTCCATATTGTCGCTGTGTCACCGAAATTAATAAGCAGCGAGTTTGGCAATGGGTTTATAGGAAAGAACGTTCTTGTAGAACTATCCATGGCTTCAAGTCCACCAACATTTTCGTCATCTTGAAGAATCGTCAAGAATGCGGAATCTGTGTGTAATCCCACACCGAGTTTCCCGACTGTTTCGGGTTTATATTGATAGTTGTTCATCCGAAACTGGCTCGGCCATCCATTGAATGAATGGGTCTCGACCAGCCCGTAACTCTCTGCTAACCTCCTTGCTAGATCCTTTGCAAGTCCATCAATAGCTTTTGCATACTTCAGAATGATCTCCCTTCAAAACCAAAATCCATCAAGACATAAAATAATTTTCTTCGAAACCAAATGTTTAGTTAAAATTAGCTAAAAGCCTAAAACAACAAAATGGTAGAACGTAAATAACATTAAAATGTTACAAAATCCACGTAAATAAATTTCAGATTTACTATTTTACTCGTGGTTCAAACGAATAGTGTGATATGATGTAAACTATATTATGGGATACTATAACATAACACTACAAGAAAACATGTGAAAATCCGACTGAATTTCCGCTGGAAACAAAATTATGTTATTTACAATACACGGTATAAATGGACTAACTCATTTACGATTTTTTTCATTCGCCGTGTTTTGATAATTATGACCAAATTTTTTATCATCTAGTGCATATTCTAC